TGTGTGCATTTTGGGGTTTAACAGGAATGACAGAGGCAAGAGTTCCAGCAGCATTTGCACTGCTTAGGGATTAGACTGAACTGACTCCTTTATTGTATGCAATGAGCTAGGCTAAATACAATATGACACTTCCACATAAACTCTGCTTTGTCTTCTTCCTTTGTTAAGTCACAAGTGCTCAAGACATAGGCCCGGGACTAATTAGGGCTCATGCACACACAAGCATGTGCACGTACACACAAATGCTCTTTCTCCCCGTTTCAGAGCGTCTGTCAAGGGTGTGAGAAGGGCACAATGAGGTTGTATGAGCAGCGGAGTTATGTGCTTGCCAGTGCAGCTCAGGCCGCTCATTAGTTTAAAAAAAAAAAAACATTTCTCCCATTTAGCACCATTGTCGCAGGGCGCAGAGGTAATGGCTTCTACAGCCTAATGACTGACAGTGTTTGTTTGTAGATGCTCAAGAATTTGCATGCTCGTGTCATTGCTACCTGAAATGACTAAGGCAGTCAGTCGCAATGTGATCCTGTTCTCACTGTAGACGTCTCTTGCCAAATACAGGCAAATGGGTAGATGAATAGAGGTTTCACTGCTCTATAAACTGGTGAATGAAAACAATGAAACATATAATCTAGTTGGAGAGCGCTACTTTAGAATGATGATATCGCTTCCGGGGCTACAGTAGTTTATGTTGGTATCCTCTTAGCATCGGACATGGAGAAATTAAATGCCAAACTTCTATAGAAATGCTCAAAAGTACAGTTAGAGCACTACAGCACTGTACATCAGGCCGAACACCTAATATGACCACTGCCTTCAACTATTACAGGGTAATACTGTCCCCACTTTTGTTCTCACTATTCACGTGATAATAACTCAGAATTTGTAAGGTCTGATTCTAAAAATAAAACTGCGTCTAATGGGTTGGTTTTCTTCGGTGAAAACTGTAAGCAAAGCCACGCTCTACAAGAACCATTTTCTGAACACATTGAACTGAAGAGGCAGTTTAATAATGTACCTTCAGATAACAGCACCATAAAACACTGCAGCATTTCTAAGCTACAAAAACAGTGAGGAGGAAACCGTAACCAGCAGTTACCCAGGTGGCTTACTGAGACAATATCCTGTCCTGGCTTACTCTCCTTCAGGCCCTGCAGGGCTTGACCTGGTCACAGGCCAAACTTACCAATCCGAATCAGCCCAGTACACCTGACACAGCGGCAGGCCTCTGACCTTGAAATTCACTGGTGAGGCATTAGAAAACAAAGAAAGAAAGAATACCAAGAGAGAAGGGGGGGGGTTAAAAAAAATGAAGGCTTTCCTGACATTTACAAAGTACAAATTTCTGGTCAAAGGCTATTTACTAGCTGAACTGTGCATTAGCAGCTAGCAGCAGTGCGCCTGGACAGGAGCCCATCCCAAATACTAAAGCTGCTCTAATACAGCAGTGGCCCTCCCTGCTGCAGCAACAGCCCCGGTACTGGAACATCTTGTCCCTCTGTGTGGCATGGTGCTGTACACCACTTTGGATAAAATATCTGCCAAATGGCATTGCTGCTCTAAAGCTGCATCTTCACATTTGCTTATATGGACGGAGTTGCATCTCACAGCCGGAGACAATAATAAAATAATGCCAAACTCTCAGAAAGAGGGCAGAGCGAGGGATCTTGGCTTCAGCAGGTAGCCGTTGGCACATAGCATCTTAGTGCTAATGTTACAAAAGTGTCGTCTTAAAGGGGTCCACTGTCTGCTTTGTCTGTAGAGGTCTACGCTGCAATTACATCTAATCAAAGAGACGTACAAAGAAGCAGACAGTGTGATGTTGATTGTAGAAAAGCAGAACAATGAGAATTTAAAAAAGCAAAAGCCACTGATCCTTCATCTGTCATGGCAGTGCTAAAATGGAAACTATGCGAGGCTGTCGGAGGAGGCTTGCAGTGTGACAACAGTTCCTCATGGGGTCTGTTTGGTTCAGAGTTACACGAACTGCAGCATTTCATTTACTAAACATAGGAGTGTGTTGTGTAAGGCAACATGCGTGATCAGTCATCTGAACAGTGCGTGATCCCAACAACCGCTGACAAGCTCCATTTTGGGTACAATTTTAAAAAAGCAAAACAAAGCTATTTGTCGAGTAATTCTTCTGCCATGGCGACAAAAATTGGAAGTGAATGAAAAGGAAATGGCCTGAGCCAACTGGTCTGACAGATGTGGCAATTTTCATGTCACATCTAAATACAAGCGCGGACACTCAAAGTCAAACACAACACTGACATATATTTAAGGCTGAACTATACAGAGAAGGCATCTGACAAATAAACTTGGCACTTCGTTGCCTGTGCAATAATTTAACGGTGGTTTGTACAGTGACAGTTTCAGCACTGCGACATGAACCATATGCTCACACCAAACTGACACATTTTCAAACTCAGTGTCGGTGGTGAAACAATACCATAAGCTTATAGTTAACATAAAACCGCATGATGTATGGTTCGGAATTTGACTAACTTAAAAGAAGATTCTTCTTTCACAAGGAGGCAACAACACCTTAGTTAGAACAAACCCTCCTTTTCAAAGCATATGAAGTGAATGCTTCCTCGCAGTTGCATTATTCAGTGCGAGGCAAACGACATTAATCCAGGCATCAGCGAAAGATGTGACTATCGGCAAAATGATGCAGATCCGCATTTGGCAGCACGAAGTGAGGCAAAAACAAATCTGCCTCAGTTGAAAATGTTCAACTTGAGCAAGCATTTGCAATTACGCCAAAGTGTACTGCTCCCTAAATGCATGGATACCGGAGCAGAGACGGAAGGTTCTGGAGAAAAAAAATGTGTAAAAAGTGGAGTTCTTGGTAAGCTTTGAAAAGATTCTTCCTGAGAAGCCACATGGAGAAACAGTTTTCAATCACGTCAAACAGATTCATCAAGTCAGGCAGTTTAAGGTTTAAATGTGAATTTACATCTTAGTTTTTTAACAACCAGTTTCATTTTTTTTCTTACACTCTAGACCTGTGTTGTCAGTTTCTTGTTATTTGCAAATGGGTTATACTTGCATAATCAGTGCCTCTGACTGCCTCACACACAGTAAGGCCATTCTATGCCCATCCTCCATCTGCCCTTGCAGTATCAAGGGGGTAAGAGGACAATGCTACTTTAGTTGATCTGATTCAACCACAAGGAAGAGCAACATACTGCAGCTACAGTAATGCTAGCTTTAGCTTAAATCTCACAGGGGGATGTGACAGAGAGGACTCTCAAAATGGATGCGGAATCACAATTCTGATTAAAAAGAAGTGACTAAAACAGCTAGGAGCTACTTAATAGCATTTTTTTTGTGTGGCCTCTATTCACTATTAATAAATAAGATGTGATTTTTGATTTACAAGGGCTGCTTATCAAGACTGATTTCACTGAAATACAATTCCAAAATAGTAATAAAAATGAGGCCATAATGTTTTGGAGCAGGTCAGACTTCAACCTGACCCCATAACTACATGACTACCGACTGCAATTATGAGCTATTTACAGTAATCATATATAGCTGCTGAGCAATACTTACTCATGTTTTGCGACTTATTCAGCAAAAAATACTTGAGACAAGACCAGACATGTCAAGACATGTCTGTACAATGTCTTTTCTGCCTAGCCTTTGAAGCAATGCAAGTCATTAATTGTTAATGGAGATAAGAAAATACCTGTAAAGGTCAAAGCACATGTTGCTTTAAAAATTTTAATTAGGTTATTTTGCTTTTTCAGAGAATTTTAGTCAATCGGTGAAGAACAGATCAGGCAAACCACACAGACAGCTGGAACAACAAAGTCAAGCAATCATACAGACAATTTAACATTTTCTATTTCATCCATGATGACATTAGGAATTTAGGGCAACCAAGTGCCTCCAACTGACCCCAAGTTAATCTGACAGAACGCTGTCCAAAGGTAAGAAGGCAAAGGACATGTGCAGTACTTTCATCAGGCCTAGCTCGGCCTACAGCGTCCTCCCTCTTCTTCTTCCCCCACCACTTCGTTGCAATGACCGACACAATCAATCATGACCCAGATCAATAAAATGAATTTATCTCCATGCTCCTTCTACCTTTTCCCATCACAGCTGGTTCCTACATGTGACAATACAATTGTTTGAGCCATCTTCGTTGAGTGTGGACCCGGATATCAAAATGACACTATGAATAGGGCAGTATTTTTAAAAATGGAGCTATGACATAGGTGATTAATAAAACAGTAATCCTGAAAAATCATTAGGCTCCATTTCGCTAAACTAAAATAGACTGACACCCTGTTATGTGGAAGTAGAAAAGAACAGAGCCTGGACCACAAATCTACAATATTACCTCTGATGTTTTGTTTATTTCTGACTTGAATAAAAAGAAATCCCATGGCAATGCGTTCTTATTCACCAGTGTATTTAGATTTCTCTTTATATCTTATTCTTTGCCAGCTTTGGTCGTCCATTCCCGTGATCGTTCATCAATCATTAAATCATTTCTAACCTCCCTCTCCTTTTACTGTTTCTCTCGTCTCATCTCTTCCCTTCCATCCGTGAGGCCTCCCCCACTCTCCATACCTCCTCTCCCCCCTCCAAACCCCCCCACCAGCTCATATACGTGGCACACACCACTGCAGTGACAGAGCCACATTAGTCATCATAAGGGACATACAGCTGTGGAAGTGCGGAGTCCAATGACAGATTTAACACGGTAACAAATGCATCGCGTAAATCCATGCACTTCCCCACCCCCCCGTTTCTAAAAATAGCAGCTATGCCACATACTGCAATAATATTAATAGCTAACATAAATGACACATCGATGTTTAATAATTCAGGTGACGAGCAGCAACCGCTGAAAAATTTTCACGCCCAACACACACAGTGCACATCCACACTTAGGTATACAAGCTCAGAAAAAAACAGTACAATGTGTAATGAAAAGACAGGGAATTACTGCTAAATCATTCAAGGAAACTATCACTGGCACTAACCTGAAAGGGGAAGATGTTATCACTGCGGCCGACTCCGTCATCCATCCAGGACTTGGGATTGAAGCCTGCGGGACTGTTCCGGGGATACTTCTGGGATGCCACATGGTTATTAGGAAAGGTCTTCTTCAGTGGAGAGATAGAGTTGATGGGGGTCATCCCACCGTTCAGCCCACGACGATAATCTCTGCCTTGAGATCCTCCCCAGCCGCCGCCACCACTACCATAGCCTCCTCCTGGACTCCAGGAGGTGGAGGAACCAGGGGAGGGAGAGGGGCTCTGGTAGCTGGCCGGACCCCAGGGGGACGGGGGCTTGTTCAGGCTGTTGGACAAATGCGGCAACTGGCTGAAAGCCGGATTCCTGTGTGGGAAGGGCGGTGGAGGGTGGGGAGAGGCCGGGGAACGCCGATGCTGCTGGTGTTGGCTGTGGGGATGCTGGAAGTGGGGATGTGGTGGTGGAGCCGGGTGGTGCTGGGACAAGGCCGCTGCTGGGCCAATCTGGGGGGAGAAGTTCCCACCAAACCCTGGACTGACATGGTGCGAGAAGTTCTGGAACAGCAGAGGCCCGTTGCTGGCAGAGGCCGGGTTGAAAAAGCTGACGTCCTCATTGATGATTGTTGACGGCGCAGGAGGGATGGCAGCCGACCAGTTGTTGAAGCCGGTAAGTGATGACGAAGTTGTACTGGACTGGACTGGACCAGTTCCCCCGAGGCCAGATGTCTCTTGGTAATCGAAGCCTGTCAGGACAGGTGACTCAAGACGAAGCTGCTTCTCCTTTCCGTTACTGCCTTCAGATGTGCCGTTCTCAGTCTTGGCCTCCTCTGACCGGGCTTTTTCCAGTTCTGAAATTATCCCACCACCACTTCCACCCTCCTGGTGACTCCCAGGAGACAACTGCTGCTGCTTTTCTTGCGTTTCTTGCATTTCCTGTTGCTGCTGTGCTTTGGGCTTCTCCGGGCCCCCCAGGATTTCGTCTTGCACGCTGTTGTGGGTGGCAGAGGCAGGGAAGAGCCAGGGAGAACCTCCTGTGGTGCCATTCCCTGCGGCTGTGGTGCTGTTTATGAAAGCAGCAGGGCTCTGCGACACATTTTGGTGGTGGTGTGGGGGCTGCAGATGCGGGTGGATTCGGACCGGGAATGCAGACTTGTTGCCAGTGTTGTTTTGAACTAGGACTCCGAACCCGTAATCCCCCATTTGTTTTCTCCCCCCACAAGCAAATGCTATCCCGTGATCGTTTGGTCCTATTGAAAGAAGAGCACACAGGATGGCATGCACTGAGTTAGCAGTCAGTTCCTCTCATTTCCCTATAGATCAAGGGATTTAGAAACAACTAGATGTGAAAAGATTCCTACACATCTAACAGTCACACAGTGCTGTCAGGAAAGAGCTAACCTTGCACTAAACCACCCACCCTTATTACTCTGCGCAGTTGAAAAGAAGCCAACCGGTTAACATTACATCTTTAGCTAATTATAACCCCGTGACGTTGCCAGCTTGTAAGTCTACAGCTGAGCTGCTGGCAGCCACCAGTAAGGCTAAGAAACACTGCTGTGTCGAGCACATATTCTCCATTTGTAGACGTTTTACGAAGGCAAGCCAACTGACAGACGATCATTACCCAAGATTAAACCTAAATGAGCACATATTAATAAAAACAGATAGCAAGAGACGTTGAAAGTATTAACAATAAATCCACACAACGTTCAGAAATAGAAACGCTCGACCTTGTTTGACAGCTGTCAGCATACTATAGAGAGCTCGACATCAAATTTCACTAGATATAAGTTAACTTTAACCGAAATGCGACTGGCAGATGGCGTCGCAAATTACTATCCGTCATTTCTTTCTCACACTTGAGACAACCGTCGACAGTGAAGCAGTTTAGATAAACAAGACGTTAGCCGGCCAGCTAACTTTTCCACCCGCTGCTAACGTTAGCCTAGCTAGCTATCAACCGTTAGCACGGATGCTAGCTAGCCGGACAGGCTGCACACAGGGCGAATAAAAATGGGTTTTCACCTTCTGATCACCACCTTCGACCTCGGCGATGTCTTTGTCGAGATCCTTCCCTCGGGCTGCGAGCGAGTTGATGTCCTTGAAACAATGAGTACGGCAGGCAAAAGCTTTCCAGAGGCGATTTAATAGCTGACTCGTACAGTGCAGTCGGTCAGCTTTTTTTTCTCTCTCTCTCTCCCTTCTCCTGACGTGTCCTGCCTGCTCAATGACACAGCTCTCTATCTGCTGCCTCTAATCTGCTCTCTATCATCAAACAGCTTTGTTAACGTGGCAATGTGTGCACTACGCTCGGCCGCGCTTTTTTTCTCTCACAAGCCTTATTCGATCGGTTTCATTGTTCGCTTGATTTCTTGTGTCCTTTTTTTTCCTTCCTTGCTAACTGTCTCTCCTACAGAGCCAGCCGATCCCTGTGTGTGCTTCTTTGGCTGCCCCTCTCTCCTGGAACCGACCGTGGCCGAATGACAGCGAGAGGATCAGCCGAGACACACTTCCGCTTCTGGCGCCTCCCTCCGCGCGGCGGCCACTCCTCCGCGGAGCCACACCTCGGTACGCGATTGGAGCCGGCGACCGGCAACCTCGCCCTATTTCTTCATCATTTAGCAGCCATGCACCAATAATACACCCATGTCATCCGTAAGTACTGCCCACTGAGGTCAGAAAAAGAAAAAAAAGGGAGAGAGAGAGAAAAAAAAGAAAAAGAAAAACCCTCCTCCCAGCACGGTCCTGTCCTTTCACGATGCAGCCGGTATCAGGTCGTGAGAAAAATGAGAAACCCAACCCCCCTCCTCTGAAGGATGGCAGAGCCTCAGTAAAAGAGCATCCTTGGCCCAGGCTTTTTGATCTCAGGCTTGTTTGTTGTAAATGTGAACAACAAAAAAACAAAACAAAACAATGGAACAGGAAGGGAAGGTGTCATTTCAGTAGCTGTTTTTGTTGTTTTGTTCTTCAAGATATCTCATTTTTCTCAGCTAACCCAATTTAAATCTCATCTTCTTTGCATTACCCTCACTGTTTACTGCACCATGCAGTTTCTTTTTTTTTCTATCCTCCTCTGTCAGGCTGTAAAGACTCTTTTCTGTGTGTCCTGATTTTGTTATGTATACGAAAAGAAAACATATGGCCCAGTGCTTTTAATATATCTAGTTGTAATTCCTCTATTTCATCTCCAAATTGTTGTTAATAATAGTTTCATCACACTATTACACTCATACTGTCTGTATAATCAGCAGTACTGAATGGTCCCGTATGCTACAAACCTATTTTATTGTGATTTACGGTTGTGATGCCCTTGGAAGTTGAAAGTAAAAGCTGCTGATACACGAAGATGTTTATTTCTGCTGTTCTTCAGTTCTCTCCATGACTAGATAGTCTTACAGCAGTACAAGATAGTACACATTTACTACCATATCAAGCCTCACACACCAAATGTTCTGCTGGTGGCTGCAAGAGTGAACACAAGAGTCTCCATGCACTCCCAGCATCTCAGGCACTGATGCTCCAATGGATTACCTTTATTATTTTTCCCAGCGATGTAAGAAAATCTTTAGTGTTCGTTAGTGGCCAGATCTGTTTGCTTTCATCCTGATCTCTGTGCTTCCATATCTACATGTTAATACAGCCCAATTCCTAATTAAGCTGCTTCCATTTATATATTTGTCACTTCAGACCCATTTCCAAGTCGCATCTCTGCACCGCTAAACTACTGATTTTATAACAACAGCATTTTCTGACAAGCTCCCCATAAAAGAAGAGTTAAAAACAACGGTGGTGCTGTAAATTTATGTGCAAAATTATCGCACAGAGAGAAAGTTAGAGGTGATAGAAAGTCCTGGTCACACACTCATTCATGTCTTTGTCAGCTGCTATGGTCAACTGTTGTGCCATGACTTCGATCACAGATGCAGAGAAAACTGTCCAGTCGTGGTACAAACTGCAAGTCGTTCATCCCTGCTATGATTGATGCTTAAATATTAAGTGTAGTAGAAATGGAAATGAGCTAAATTCAGAAATACACAACATTTCAATCCTTCTGCACGCCACAACGCAGCTCCTTTGTGTGCCACTCTTCTTCTAGGGTGGCTACATCTTTCATCAGTTGTGATCTAGGCTCTCCTCCCTAATGCAGGCTGGTGTTGGGAGTCTTCTTTCTGAAGGGAGTGCAGACAGCAACAGCTCAGCTGCATTTAAAGCTGCAGACACTGAAGTAGCCTGTTTAGAACAGGGCTAAACCCATGAGTACACAATCATGGTAAAATGAACCATCTTGTCAGTATTTTGAGCAATAAAAAATACAATAAAATAAAGATATATTCTAGAGACATGTTGGATTTTTAATTATTTGCAGAAAAAGGGCGCAATATGGGACCTTTACATATGTAGCTACAGCCACGAGCGTTAGCTTAGCTTAAAGACTGGAAACTAGCCTGGCTCTGCTCAAAGGCTGAAAAGAACAACCAGCCCACCAGCACCTCTAAAACTCAAACTGTACCCCAACTGTTAAATTTGTACAGCTCCAAACATTTGTAAAAACGCAAAGGGCTGGCTGTGCACTGAACTGTTTCTTACTGCATTAACCTCCTGGGTCTTGTTGTCATTTTGAGGTTGCTAGAAATAGATGTAAGATGATACAACATGCTTCAGAGTTGCTGGAAGGTGTTTCTTCTTTTTACTTTTGCACAGAGACAGGTTAGTCGCTTCCTGTGCTTTATGCTAAGCTAAGCTATCATATTCCTGCTGGCTCCGGCCTTGTGTTTAACGAACAGACATGGAAGTCGTATCAGTGTTCTCATGTGAATCTCAGCAAGAAAGCAAATAAACACGAATCTTTTCTTTCCTCTTGTAACTGAAATTGCAAAACAGTTCCTTACATGCACCAAATTCTAACATTTAGGCTTGATTTATCACAGAACAATCTCAATCTCTCCTATTTTCTCTAGTATACCAGAACAGAGCCAATCTAAGAGATGTATCTATGTCTGCTTTAGTCCGCTCTTCCAGATGTCTGACCATCCAACGTCTTTTCCTTCATCAGCCGCCCACATTATCCCCCTCGTCTCTTTATCTGCCTCCCTGTCCTCGTCTGTGTCCTTCTCTCCTGTATGGTCATTATCACGGAGAGGTCATCAAACAGCTTTGACTCCGTCGGTCTCTCCGACCCTCGACTGGCAGTGTTACACGCTGCCGCAAATGGCTATCTAATAAATCTGTCACTTCAAGTCCAGCTGGGATGGAGTGATAAATTAGAGATTCTGTAGTGTGCTACGTTATTAAATATGTACCGAAAGGATGAGCAAGCGATGGGAGGTTGCGGGGGGAGGTAGGTATTGGCAGGGTTAGAGAGTGACCGGATTAAAGTAATCCGATTAAAAAAAATAAATAAATAAAATAAAAAAATAGATTACAGATGTCTGATAATAGCACCACTCACGTTCGGATTTCAAATTTGTGTGAGCTGTGCAAATACCTGCACGTGCAGAGATATTTGGAGGTAAATGGTGTCAAAAGTACATTTGAGGCTCCTGTTTTTACAATTAAAGTTTGATGATATACAAAAAAAAAGACTTGCATAACATGACTAAGCCAGCTTGCTTTCATCGAAGATGGATTGCAAGAATTAACCCTTTGCTGTCACTTCAAAATAAAACTATCAGGGGGGAAAAAACAGTCATTGTATTTCTCTGGTCATTAATGTTCAGCATCAAAAAATATTACTGTTTCTGAATTTAGAGTACAAAATAATCACTCCTTTTTATATTCTCAGGAAAAAAAAATATAACAAGTCTTATGATGGTCCAAAAATAATCAATTTACCTCCATTGCACTGAAATTAGTAGAACTGCTTCAAGTGCAGCAGCTTCACTTGTCTCATGCATTTCCATTACGCATCATCATTTCTGCTTGTGACCTCTATTTCCTTTTCCTCATTTTTTTTAATCTCTGTTCTGTTCCACAAACAAAAGTGTTCAAGCGAAGTCTTATTCACACACTGGAGGGCGAGAATCAGCAGGAGGAAGGAGTAATGTTTGATAGTCCTAAATGTGCTCCGGCTTTGCAGTGCTTCTTGCATAGGGCATGGTATTCCTCTCACAGTGGGGTGGATGATTAAGCAGAGTGCTTGGCACCGTAAATGGATTTCTAGGACAGAATAACCGGTCTTACTAGCCTCACTCAGGAGACAACACCCTCTCCTCCCACTGTCCCTTTCTCTGCCTTTCATTCCCCGTCACACACATTGTTTTTTAGTTGTTGTTTTTTTTTTTTTTTAAATCAAATCCTTCCTGCCCAGAGCAACCCAAAAAAACAAAGCGCACAGCAGAAGGGGGAAATGACATACATATTCATGAAATTATTTCTAGGATCTACTGTGGCATTCTGTATCTACAGTTTCAACTGAAAATACTGTATTCAAATCTACTGAGATGTGTAATTTATCTACTGTATGATATTGCTAGTGGCCAGTTTTAGCATGCGCTCTCTTTCTGGCAGTGGTTTTCTGTGTGCTCTGCCATATCCAAGACTGGATAGGTACTATGAATAAAACATTGAATCCATTAAAAAATTAATCGCCTCTACCTTAGGCATAATTATGGTGCAATTCCTCCCAGAGCGCATGTGTGTGTGTTTGCGAGTGCAAGTGTGCATTTGGAAACGTGCATAGAGCAAATGTGCACATGCTAAGCTCGTAACTTAGCACGATTCATGTCTTAAAACCTCATTTGAACAATGTCACGCCACTCCGACGGTAGGAACAACTGAATGAACGAACTTCAAAATGCAGCAGGATCCGACTAAAAAACACGACTGTTTTCCAACTCGTCATTGGACAAATACAAGATTTTGACCTGACAGGAATTGTTTTTGTGTAAATTATGTAGATGTTTACATGTATATTGTTAACCTTGTGACGTGCAGTTGTGTAGAGTTGTGTTTGTGACCTATGAAATATTCAGAGCTCGTATGTGTCACTAACAAAACGTTGTGGACGTGTTCGTGCGTAGCTTTGGGATGCAAAGGACCTCTGGGTATGAGGAGGAAAGGTCGGGGGAGGGGTTGTATTGATCTGCCTTAAGGTGACATTCATAATCCCTTAAAACATAATTTGAAATATAAAGAAACACCATCAATTTCTTTCACTTTCTATATTACAGAACAGCTCGCCTCCTCTGCTTTTTCTTTCTTTCTGACAGCCTCAGACCTTTCACATACTTCACCCGTCCAGTGTATTTTGCCCTGTTGTGCTATCCCTGGGGATCCTATACTAATTAAGCCAAAGAGGTCTTTCTGGGTAGCGGGCCGGGATGACTGTTTGAAAAAGACACATTGGCTCTGTGTGTGTGTGTGTGTGTGTGTGTGTGTGCATGCATGGGAGTGTGTCACAAAGGCCAGGCTGATTTCATGACTCCACTGGGTACAGAAGGGATAATAAATTACAACAGAGCAGCA